CACCGTTTTTCCTGCAGCTGGCGCGACTTTTGCGGCCCTGTCCTCTAGGGAGGGGTGGTCGGATGTCGGAGAAATGGAAGTGAACGGGGACGGAGAAAAGGAGCCGGGACGGGGGCGGAGAAAAAGGCGGGGACTGAGAAAACCAGAGACGGGACGGGGGCGGAGAAAAAGGCGGGGACTGAGAAAAACAGAGACGGGGGCGGAGAAAAAGGCGGGGACTGAGAAAAACAGAGATGGAATAGCCACCGAAACCGTAGCTTCCCGAATCATGACTCTCTCGCTGGCCGCTCTTGTGTATGGAGGTGAGTGCACATTCCGAGTGCAGCGTGTGACCCCCGGGGGTGGGGGGGACGGGGACACCGAAGGAGCAGAGAACAGTTGTACAGAGATGTGCGCAGCCTGAACTCCTCTGTATCGGGGTCACCATACACCTTACAATCAGACCTTCGATGATTGCCTCGTTCACATGGGACGCAGTAAAGTGACCACCTATACGAGAGGCGTGTTTACTGAAAAAACTGAAGATAGAAGCTGATTGGTCGCCATGCACAGCTACTACAAATACTACAAATTCTGTCTGCTCCAGTTTTAGTAATTTCCCCCACCCGATAGTAACCAATCAGATTTCTCAGATCACTTGTAGCACAAAGATCCTAGAATTATACCTTTGTAAAGATCCAACATCCGGGGGACAAGTCTGATCGCCACCATCTGTACGATCCTTAAAGTCGGTGCTGCAATTCCCTCCTTCCTCCATGGGGTGGCAGTATAGACCGCTCCGGGCATTGGAAGTCAGTACTGTAATTCCCTCTTTCCGCCATGGGGTGGCAGCACATACACAGCTCCGTGGAAGGAAAATCCGCCGCTACTGCAATTCCCTCTTTCCGCCATGGGGTGGCGCCACATACACACAGCTCCGGGGAAGGAAAGTCAGCTGCTGCTGCAATTCCCTCTTTCCGCCATGGGGTGGCAGCACATACACACAGCTCCGGGGAATGAAATCAGTTGGTTGTTCTGGTGTGTCTTCTCTCTGGTTTCGGATGAAATCCTCCCGACACTCCGCTCTTCTTATCCGCCACCTCCGCTAACCGACCGTTCAGACCCCGGCCCCTCTCTGCGCTCCGACACACGATACGGTGCCCGCGCTCTGTACATTGGTTCCCTTCCAACTGCTCCCGTACGCTCAACCAATCGGCACGCTGCATGCCCGTCCAGCCCTATGAGCCGTGTGCAGCGGTGGGCGTGGTCACATAAATGTCTCCGTGTTCTGATTGGCTGTATACGGTGTTAGTAGTTATGTAGAAAATGACAAAATATTATGTTTTACAGGAAATAAATAGAAACCTTCCGAGCGGTGAATGGGGGGCGTGTCATCACGTGATTCCACATTGCCGGGTTTACCTTTTTAACCCCTTATCTACTACAGCAAAATATCTCATTTTTGCACACGTGCTTTTTTTTTAACCCCCTCCTGAGGATTTCCCCCCCTTCCTGACCCGAACATTTTGTGCCATATGGCTCTGCGTTACTTTACTAACAATTGCGCTGTCATGCACCGCTGCACCCAAATTAAATTTGTTTTTTTCCCTCAGAAATTGAGCTTTCTTTTGGTGGTATTTGATTGCCTGTGCGATTTTTTTTTTTTTTTTTTTTTTTTCTGTACTTGTCTGTTAATTCACCGCATTTATTTATTCAATATAGTTAACATAGTTTAAAAGTTTTATTTGAAACGAATTACTTAGCTAGCATGTCAGTAAAGTGGGTCTCTATATATATATATATATATATATATATATATATATATATGTATATATATATATATATATAATAAATCCGGTGAAAATCGGTGACAAGTACCTATTTAAACAAAAATTTTGAGGAAAAAAAAACATTTTTGACTTTTTGTTATAAAACATGTCCAGTAAATAAAATTTAAAACAAATCAAATTTCATCATAAATTTCAGTCAAAATGTATTCTGCTCCGTGGCTTTGCTAAAAAAAAATCCCGATACGTGTAAATTAATTGGTTTACGTGAAAGTTATAGCGTTTACAATGACATCATCTGGACATGGAACAGTTAAAAAACGCTTCTTAAGCATTTGGAATGTCGGTAAAATCTACTGAACGCAAGTTTGGTGCTTTCAAAAAAGACTGTAAACTCAACTGCCTGTAATGACAAACACCCAGCACACAGTTAACCCTTTGATCACCCCTCATGTTACCCCTTCCTGCCCAGTGTCAATAATACAGGGTCAGTGCTTTTTATTAGCACTGATCACTGTATTGATGTCACTGGGGATGTCTAGACACCAAGTCAGTCCCCCCCCCCCCGTGTCAGAATGTCCACCGCAGTCCTGCTATAAATCACTGATCACCAACATTACTAGTATAAAATCAATAAAAATCCCAGTGTATATGTATGTATATACATACAGTGGGGCAAAAAAGTATTTAGTCCCCACCAATTGTGCAAGTTCTCCCACTTACAAAGATGAGAGAGGCCTGTAATTGGCATCATAGGGAGACCTCAACTATGAGAGACAAAATGAGAAAACAAATCCAGACAATCTCATTGGCTGATCTGGAAAGAATTTATTTGCAAATTATGGTGGAAAATAAGTATTTGGTCAATATGAAAAGTTCATGTCAATACTTTGTTATAGATCCTTTGTTGGCAATGACAGAGGTCAGACGTTTCCTGGAAGTCTTCACAAGGTTGGCACACACTGTTGCTGGTACGACTCGACTACTGCAACTCCCTCCTCACTGGCCTGCCTCGCCGCTGGCTATCCCCGCTTCAGTCCATCCTGAATACGGCTGCCAGACTCATTCACCTTTCCAACCGCTCCGTTTCCGCCACCCCCCTCTGCCAATCCCTCCACTGGCTTCCGATTGCGCAACGGATCAAATTCAAAATCCTAACGCTGACGTACAAAGCTGTCCACCATACTGCCCCGAACTACATCACTGACCTAATATCCAAGTACCGCCCAGCACGCACACTCCGCTCTCGCTCCTCACAAGACCTCCTTCTCTCTAGTTCCCTGGTCTCCTCCTCCCATGCCCGCCTCCAGGACTTCTCCAGGGTGTCGCCCATCCTCTGGAACTCCCTGCCCCAACCCATCAGATTATCACCTACTCTCCTCTCCTTTAGGCGCACCCTGAAAACCCATCTCTTCAGGGAAGCCTACCCCGCCCCCTGCTAACTTGCCGACCTCCTCCACTCTTCCTACCACTCCATCCCCCCCACAGCTATCTCCTCCTGTGCCACCATCCCCTCCCTCCTAGATTGTAAGCTTGAAAGAGCAGGGCCCTCGATCCCCTCATGTCTTGCATTGTATTGGAATTGTTCTGTCACATGTTCTGTCCCCCTTTGTAATGTACAGCGCTGAGCGAACTATTGGCGCTTTATAAATACTGTATAATAATAATAATAATAATAATGTTGGCCCATCCTCCATGCAGATCTCCTCCTCCATGCAGATCTCCTCTAGAGCAGTGATGTTTTGGGGCTGTCGCTGGGCAACACGGACTTTCAACTCCCTCCAAAGGTTTCCTATGGGGTTGAGATCTGGAGACTGGCTAGGCCACTCCGGGACCTTGAAATGCTTCCTACGAAGCCACTCCTTTGTTGCCCGGGCGGTATGTTTGGGATCATTGTCATGTTGGAAGACCCTGCCACGTTTCATCTTCAATGCCCTTGCTGATGGAAGGAGGTTTGCACTCAAAATCTCACGATACATGGTCCCATTCATTCTGTCCTGTACATGGATCAGTCATCCTGGTCCCTATGCGGAGAAACAGCCCCAAAGCATGATGTTGCCACCCCCATGCTTCACAGTAGGTATGGTGTTCTTTGGATGCAACTCAGCATTCTCTCTCCTCCAAACAGGACGAGTTGTGTTTCTACCAAACAGTTCTATTTTGGTTTCATCTGACCATATGACATTCTCCCAATCCTCTTCTGGATCATCCAAATGCTCTCTAGCAAACTTCAGACGGGCCCCGGACATGTTCTGGCTTAAGCAGGGGGACACGTCTGGCACTGCAGGATCTGAGTCCCTGGCGGCGTAGTGTGTTACTGATGGTAGCCTTTGTTACGTTGGTCCCAGCTCTCTGCAGGTCATTCACTAGGTCCCCCCGTGTGGTCCTGGGATTTTTGCTCACCGTTCTTGTGATCATTTTGACCCCACGGGGTGAGATCTTGCGTGGAGCCCCAGATCGAGGGAGATTATCAGTGGTCTTGTATGTCTTCCATGTTCTAATTATTGCTCCCACAGTTGATTTGTTCACACCAAGCTGCTTGCCTATTGCAGATTCAGTCTTCCCAGCCTGGTGCAGGTCTACAATTTTGTTTCTGGTGTCCTTCGACAGCTCTTTGGTCTTCACCATAGTGGAGTTTGGAGTGTGACTGTTTTGAGGTTGTGGACAGGTGTCTTTTATACTGATAACAAGTTCAAACAGGTGCCATTGATACAGGTAATGAGTGCAGGACAGAGGAGCCTCTTAAAGAAGAAGGTACAGGTCTGTGAGAGCCAGAAATCTTGCTTGTTTGTAGGGGACCAAATACTTATTTTCCACCATAATTTGCAAATAAATTCTTTCCAGATCAGCCAATGAGATTGTCTGGATTTGTTTTCTCATTTTGTCTCTCATAGTTGAGGTCTCTCTATGATGCCAATTACAGGCCTCTCTCATCTTTGTAAGTGGGAAAACTTGTACAATTGGTGGGGACTAAATACTTTTTTGTCCCACTGTGTGTGTATGTATGTGTGTGTGTGTGTGTATATATATATATATATACACATGTATGGAGTATGTAAAGATTCGATTTTCAAATTGAATAAGAACCATTTAATTTCTGGTGCAATCGTAGGGTTAGAGGACCACCAGGGCTTAGCTAGGACCTCTTTAGCTGCAATGTTAATTGTATTTCTTTTTTTTTTTTATTACTTTTTGTTTCAATTTTTTTTCTTTGTTTAGGACTTGTCACCATCCTCCTCCTCCTCTCCCTGGTATCATCACTTCCGGTGTACATACAGAGCGGGGCGGAGATCAGTGCATGTAATATGAAGTGTCCTCAGCCTCGAGGTGTCATGGAGCTGTACAGACGATGTGGAGGGAAAGCAGAACCTTTACTTGAGATGTTTTGTGACGATCCTCGCACCATCAACAATGACAAGGCCAGACTTCACCTGGACAGGGAGAGCGGCTGCTGGAAGCTGACCCAGACTGGAAGGAGAGACTCCTGTGTGTATATTATAGAATTTCACAGCAGCCCAACAAGACAACTGTCCTCTACAAACATCCGTGTTCTGGGTAAGAGACCATATACTGCATGAGGGGCATTGCTAGAACTATGAGAGAATTGGGGAAACCTCAAGAACTAAAAGGAGGGAGAGAAGGCAGAGGGCCAAATGGTGGGTGTGGCCAAAAAGCAGTGACAGCGAGAGGTGCTTGAAGTGGCATGGTTGTATTAGGCCTGAGCCTACTCGCTGTATACAGAGTACACAAATGCCACGTTTCTTGTACCATTAAATATGCCTTGAATGACTGTGCCAAAAGCGAGTCCCACATAAACATCAACACAATCAGTTGTAATTATAAACCGCCAATAGCATCCATTGAGACAATAAAACACTTTGCACAAGAATATACATAGCACACAGAGTGCAGGGGTCAGGATTAGGTAACAGAGAATGCAGATATCAGGAGTAGGTGATGCAGAGTGCAGTGATCAGGTGTGGGTAAACAGTGCAGGGGTCTGGAGTATGCAGTGTATAGAGTGCAGGGGTCTGGAGTATGCAGTGTATAGAGTGCAGGGGTCTGGAGTATGCAGTGTATAGAGTGCAGGGGTCTGGAGTATGCAGTGTATAGAGTGCAGGGGTCTGGAGTATGCAGTGTATAGAGTGCAGGGGTCTGGAGTATGCAGTGTATAGAGTGCAGGGGTCTGGAGTATGCAGTGTATAGAGTGCAGGGGGTCTGGAGTATGCAGTGTATAGAGTGCAGGGGTCTGGAGTATGTAACAGGTCAAATCTCCGCACCTACCTCCAGTACACATCTTCCACAGGACAGGTCTCATTCTTCCCCCTCCAACCCCATGGCAGCTAAAATTGAAGGTCAGTACTTCCCTTGGCTGTGTCATGGACACATCCTGGCTAAGGAGGGGGTCTCCCTCAGCTCTGAGCTGCAGCATTGCTGCAAAATCTGAGGTCTGTTTGTGGCTGCAGTGTGATCGGCACTGAAGTGGAGGAAGTTTGAAAGAATCATTGCTGGCGGTCACAGCGTCGTGGACCTGAAGCACCCTGCAGAGATGCAAGGGAAGTGCCCTGGAGGAGTGATGCCGCTGTACTGCAGCTCACTTTCCTTCCCTACTTTGCTGGGTTTTTTGCCTTCCTCTGGATCAACTGTGGATATAGGATTATAACTTTTTGTTTTTTTTTGTGGTTGAACTGGATGGACTTTTTTTTGTCTTTTTTTTCAGCCAGACTAACTATGTATCTATGAAGTAATACACTCCTTCTGCAGAGAACAGCAACACTGGGATTATATGTAGGGGGAGGGCAGATCACATGCCTAATCAGAGTGTGTACAAGAGCTAGCACTCTGTTCCCTGTATTTGGCTCTGTGCTGGTGACCAATGACTGATGGTGACTGTCCTTCTGATCATTCCAGATCCAGTTCTCATCTCCAACATCACCAGTAATGGCAGCCGGCAGGGTGAGGACATGGCGGTGAGCGTCCAGTTCTCTGGAGAAGAGAGCGCTGTGACCTGGGAGGTGGACGGGGAGCCCCTCCCTGAAAGATACCGGCTGATAGATGACAATAGGACGCTGATTATCCCCAGTGTGCAGAGAGACGACGCCGACAGGAGATTCCGGGTCAGGATCACCAACCCGGTCAGTGAGGAGATCCGGGAATACCGGCCGATCAATGATATAATGTCATCAGAATGCTGGAAGCAGAAGGTATTGGTGACTATGGGGGGGTCATGTTATATTCCATGTATTGGGGTGTTATAGATCGGGGTCATCCTGTCTCTGTCGCCTCTTCTCAGGGGGGTCATAGTGGAGGGTGACACAGGATAGTAACATTGTGTCATGTTTTTTTCCTGTTCTGCATCGGGGATACCACAGATCAGTGTGATGGTTTATATAAAATAAATCACATCGATGACTGGATCAGAGGATTTTCATTTTCACAAAGTGATAGAACTCCTCGTTGTATATTTACTATGCGTTCCATTTGGTTCCTGACAGATTCTGGTTCAGTTAATGGAAGAGTCCGGGTTCCTCTTGTTGCTGCAGCACTGCTGGTTGGATTGGTGATCTACATTGTATATTCAGGTGAGTGACAGTTACCTACAAAGAGCCTGTTGATTCATTGTGAATATAAACTGAAAGGTGAACAAAAAAAACTAGAAAGGATAAGTTCACCTGTCATAACATGCTACATACACATTACACCTATGTTCAGGATGTAACATGTTACCTACCACCACCCCCTCGATCCTATATTGTGACAGCGGGCATGGGGGAAACTTCTGCCCCCTGCTAGCTGTCGCAATTTTTTTAAAAACATGGCCCCGGGGGCTCTGCGTCATTTATTCTTAGAGATCTGTGAATGGGAAACTACAAGTCCTGACAGCCTTTGCAGATGTCGGCTTGCAGTCCTCAAGGAACTATCGCGGCACTGTTGAGTGTTGTGGTAGTTCATAGATTAATCTGTCAGTGTACAACTGCCTGCTCCATACTGTACAAGGCACGAGTAGGCAGAACTACTCTGACAGCCTGCAGGAGACCTGCATGGCACTAGTGGTCTGATGATCGCTGGTACAATGCTTTCGAAGGTACCCTACAACAAAATATAGTAAATGCACATTTTTTTTTTACCAGCAAAAAACTGTGCATTTACTATTTTTATATACAGTAATATATATATTATTATTTTTTTTTTTAACATGAACTTATTCCTTTTTAAAGTGTCAGCCGAGGATTACTTTCTACAATAAAGCGTAGCTATAAAGGAAGGGAACTATATTTCCCTTTTCCGGAAGGCCTTGTCTTGAAATCCCGCCGGTCCAGTGCTTCTTGGCTGCTGCATGATTCCACCCACTCCTCTGCCACACGCTGTGGTTCCTCCAGCTGGCTTGTATGTCACTGCAAGATGTATGAGCTGGGCAGAAGGAACCAAAGCATCCAGCAGGGGGAAACAGGTATTCATCCCGTCCTGCTGGTTACATATTTGTAGGGGTGAAGCAAAGTAGCAGCATTTCAAGACCTTGGCTACTGGAAAGGGAAGTATTTCTCCCTCCTTATAGCAGGTAAGATTTTAGATGACAGGAACACTTTACACTCTCGGCAAAACGAATAAAGAGTAACAGAAGGGCAATATTTTTTTATTTTATTTTTTTATTTCTGGAGGAACTGCTGCTTTCAACTCAGGATAGTGTTGCTTGCATACCTCTAAGCTTTTAGCATTTGGTCATGTGAATGTAGGTGAAGGAGAGATGAGAGGTTTAGGATGACTAATCATCCCTTTCAGCAAAACCTGTGAGCAGCACTGGAAGGAGCCCGAAGTTTCATTTTTCTCCAGGAAAGATAGGCATTTTTATTTTCTGTTCCTCTTTATTGGTCCGTTCCAATGTGTAGGTCTGTTTTGAAGCACTGCAGGGCTCTCTGATGTGTTGGCCATCTTGGAATGGGATTGGAGGCGGAATACATGTGACACAAGTTTATATAGTTGAAGTCTGGGTACAGGGGGGTTACAGAGGGGGTACGGGGTGTGGGGGGGGTTACGGGGGGAATGGGGATAGTTTTGTTGGCACAGGTGACAGTTGGAAACAGTTTGATTAAGGTGCAAACAGCCCTGTCACTGTATTTTAAAAGAGTTCCACTCACTCTGTTAAAAAAGTCAGCAGCTGCAAAAAACTGTAGCTGCTGGACTTTTTAAAAAAAAACAAAAAAAAAAAAACAAACCACTCGCCTGTCGCACGATCCCGCACAGCCTGTTATCACCGGCCGTCCTGTATTCCAGGGAGGACCCGGCATCCTTCAGTGTGGGGCACCCGGGCTGTGACAGCTTGCGGCTTCACAGCCGGGTGTGCCACTGTTGGCATGTGCGCGTTTAGCGCTGCGCTTCATGAATGGTCCTGTAGTCTCTTGGGACCTTTGTCATGTGTCCCAGAAGACTTCGGGGAGGGAGGGTTATTAAGAGAACATCTTCCATTTCCGATTGCCTAGGCCAGTGGTCAGCAAGCGCGGCTCGCGAGCCACATGCGGCTCTTTACACACTTTTATGCGGCTCTTCTGTGTTGCAAGGAGGCGCCCGCTCCCTCCCTCCTCTCGGACGGCCGCCCAAAGTCAGGACTCTTCTGCAGCTAGCCCAGCATGGGCAAACTACGGAGAGTGGCAAACCTTGGGCTGTCAGGATGTAGGCGGGGCATGCAGCGTGACGAACTCCTTCCTCTCAACAGTCCGCCCCTGTGAAGACCGGAACGGCTCGCGGGGGGAACACGGCGAGACGGAACGCGGCGGAGCAAAGGTAAGTTGAATTGACACAATATGGGGAATGAAATTACTATATGGGGGGATGAATTACTTATAGGGGGGATTGAATTACTATAGGGGGGATGAATTACTATGGGGGGGATGAAATTACTATGGGGGGGATGAAATTACTATATGGGGGATGAATTACTATTATGGGGGCATGAATTTACTATATGGGGGATGTATTTTTCAGTTTATTAACAAATGTGGCTCTCAAAATAAATTTCAATTGTGGTTTTGGCGAGAGATTTGGCTCAGATTGAAAAAAATAAGGTTGCCCACCACTGGCCTAGGCTGAGCTCGCAGCAGATGTGGGAGCGTAGGTAACCTGTCGAATTGTGTAGCCTGGTTCCCCCGCTCTCCAAAAGGTGTGCCAGAATCCTTCTAAATGGGGAGCGGGAGTCCAGTCCTTTAAAGCGGAATTTCCCCTTTTGGGGTGGACCTCCGCTTTAACTATTTTTCTTTCTGCATCCATTGAGTGTTTATATACCTACAAGAGGATTGGAAAATGGGCACAACAAAATAATTGTAGGGCCAGCCCTCCAGGGTATATGAACCCCTCCTCCACCCTACATCATGCCCTTTTTGGTTTTTTTTTGCTGTGTGTGGCGAGGGAGGAAGGCCATTCTCCAGGTCCTGCTCAGAAGGCGTTTTTTTTTTATGGCTAAAATTTTTTGTTTTGTTTTTTTTTTCTTTTTTTGTTATTTTGTTTTTTTTTTTTTTTTTTTTTTTTTTTTTTTTTTTTTTTTTGTTTTTTGTTTTTGTTTTTGTTTTTCTGTTTTGTAGCTGCTACTTTTTGGTTGTTTTTTTTTTTTTTTTTTTTTAAAATACAGTTTTCCAACGTTTTTGTCCTCGCGTCAATATAATTGTAGCTGCTGGACTTTAAAATACTGTCACTTACCAGGTCCCGCGGTTTCCATCCAATGGTTGTCCTCCCCACGGGGGTCTCTCTGGTCCCTTAGGCTGTCCTGGGCTGCTGTGGCATCTTCAGTATGGGCCCCTGGCTGTGACAGCTAGCGGCCTTCACAGTTCCGGGAGTGCCCAGCTGCGCATGTGTGGTAGCAGCGCTGCCCTTTTGTGAATGGCCCCCGTAGTCTTCTGGGACCTGTCACGTGTCCCAGAAGATACAGGGGGGGGGGGGGGGGGGGGGGGGTGGAGGACAACTTCCGCTTCTGATCGCCTAGGTCAGGGGTAGGCAACCTGCGGCTCTCTAGCTGTTGTAGAAATACATTTCCCATGAGAGGCATTGCAAAGATTACAAAACTGACAGTTACAGCTATAACTTGCCTCTGCAAGTCATAGCTGTAACTGTCAGTTTTGCATGATGGAACTTGTAGTCCTGCGGCTCTCAGGTTGCCTACCCCTGGCCTAGGTGATCGCCGGGAGTAGTGGGTACCCGCTCCCCAAAGGTGCCAATCCTTAATGAGGAGCGGGGGACAGAGCATTGAAGCGGAACTTCCCCTTTTGGGTGGAGCTCCGGTTTAAGCAACCACATAGTATGACAACTGTAAAAGTTGTTTGTTGATGGAAACTTCCAAGCAGTAGTATGATCCTAGGGTGTCCACTTGATTTGAGGGAGGATAGCGGCTCATTCTGGAAAGGACAAAACATGTATATAGGGAGGACGTCCAATGCAGATGGAGATACAGGAATAATGGTGGCTTGGACATTAAGACATGACCGAATCTATTGGCATTATTGAATACTTCCTGCCCCCCTCCAGACAATACACTGACGTCTTATTGGGCCTTTAGTGATAATTGCTGCCACCTGCTGAGCTGTATTTGTGCAATTTTATATTTTCAGAATTTCATCAAAAAAAGGGATGTGAAGAACAATGGAGTCCCTGAAGATGTACCACCACACCGAGGACGTAATGTTCTCCCCATCTAGAATGGAGCCGTACCTGACAAACGTTTAGATCTCTGTCTGAGGAAAAAGGGAGCCTGATGTACTATTTAAAGGAAATATGTGCTTACAATGTAAACTTTTCTTCCACTATTTGAAGGATAAAAGGTTGTCTGAGTCTAGGAATGGATTTAAAGCCAGAGCCCCGGTGCATACAGATCCTGTATATTAGAGGTGTAAAAAACACCCAAAAAAAGTCTATGAAAGGTACCAGGGGCATCTCATGGAGCCCCTACTGACCCTGGGCCCATCGGGCAGTGCCAGAGTACCGAAATGGCCAGTCCCGGTCCGCCCCTGCACCTAAACTAATCTCAACACATACTGCTGTCTCTGTTTCAGAGAAATACAGAGAATAGAAGCAGTCTGAAATAGTTACCCGACTTTTCAGTGCATTCTGGGCATTTGGGAGGTTCTCCTGTGCTTATCTTTAAAAAAACGCTTCTAAATGCAAACGCGCGGCTAATCGACGTCTTTTTAACCTACGTTTTTTCCCCCAGCAGTTTCCATCATTCAGAAACGTCCCGTGTACATGGGGCCTAACATGCAAACGATTATACGAAGTTTTAGTGATTTAGGTTTCCATACATTTTTTTAATGTTTTTGCGCTTTTACTTCATAAATACGATATCAGTGAGGAGAAGTTTCATCTTTTGCTGAAGTCTCTGCAGCCTCGGTGTCATGGGCCGCTGTGGATTGACACCAGAGTGAGATGCTTCTGAACATGCAGAATTCATTGACGGGAACATTTAACCTCCATGTGACCGGCTTCAAGCAGGAGGATAGACTTGTGTGGGAATACAAAATCCGGAAGGTGCAAACAAAAGCCCACTGACCTCTTTGAGACCACAATAGGAGTATATCAGTCCAAAAGTGAACTGCCGCTTTTGCCTTAAAGTGATATAAAAGTCTTCTTTTTTTTTTTAAATAACAAACATCATATACTTAGCTGCTCTGTGCTGTGGTTTTGCACAGAGCAGCAGAGATCTTCCTCTTCTTGGGTTCCCTGCCGACCCACTCCTGGCTCCTCACGTCTGCTGAGTGCATCCAAGCAGGCTTGCTCCCGAGCCGCGGCTCTGTGTCCATTAACACACACTGCTGCAGCTAGGCGCCTGACCTCTCAGATAGCATCTGTGTGCTCCTCTCGGTTTGGATCACACAGCTGCAGTCTAGGCCTTGTTATTTATTCTGGCTGTGATTGATTTACAGCAGCAGGAGCCAGTGGCTCCTGCCTCAGCCAATCAGGGATGAGATGGTCCCCCGGAGAGCTGAGGCTCTTGTGGACATCACTGGATTAAGAAGGGGCTCAGGAGATTTATATACAGTTGTGTCCCAAAATTATTCAACCCCCAATGCTGTAAAGGGGTTTAGGACTATAGTGTACATTTGGAATTGTATTCAGAATCAAAATCCTACAAGGACGTTGTAACTACCCAAATGCAACTAAAATGACATCAATTGTTTATGTAATACAGTAGTAAATGGTTCTTATGTGGTTTCTTCATTGCCACAATTATTCAACCCCTTAAAGACTACCACTCTGAAGAACAGAGGTTCATACAGGTGCTTTCCATCAGGTATTGAAAACACCTGTGGATGTCACCGAGCAGCAATCAAGCATAATAAGCACCAATTAGGCAGCTTTAAAATGACTGTGATACTCAGCTCCTTCTAGACATTTACTGGTGTGGTTACAAACATGGTGAAGGCAAGAGAATGGTCCAGGAAGACAAGAGAAGAGGTGATTTCTCTTCACAGGAAGGGCAATGGCTATAAGAAGATTGCAAAGATGTTAAAACATACCCAAGAGACACCTTAGGAAGCATCATTCGCAAATTCAAGGCAAAGGGCACTGTTGAAAACGCTACCTGGTCGTGGCAGAAAGAAGATGCTGACTTCGACTGCTGTGCGCTACCTGAAGCGTAGAGTGGAGAGAAGTCCCCGTGTGACTGCTGAGGAACTGAGAAAAGATTTGTCAGATGTGGGTACAGAAGTTTCAGCCCAGACAATAAGACGCACACTGCGTAATGAAGGCCTCCGTGCCAGAACTCCCAGGCGTACCCCCTTGCTGTCTCCAAAGAATAAGAAGAGTCGACTGCAGTATGCCAAAAGCCATGTGGACAAACCACAAAAGTGTGGGTGGGATAGTGTTCTGTGGACTGATGAAACAAAATTAGAACTGTTTGGGCCCATGGATCAACGCTATGTTTGGAGGAGGAAGAACAAGGCCTATGATGAAAAGAACACCTTGCCTACTGTGAAGCATGGTGGAGGGTCAATCATGCTTTGGGGCTGTTTTGCTTCTGCAGGTACAGGGAAGCTTCAGCGTGTGCAAGGTACCATGAATTCTCTTCAGTACCAGGAGATATTGGATGGAAACGTGATGCAGTCCGTCACACACCTGAGGCTTGGGAGACGTTGGACCTTTCAACAGGACAATGATCCCAAGCATACCTCCAAGTCCACTAGAGCATGGTTGCAGAGGAAAGGCTGGAACATTTTGGAGTGGCCATCGCAGTCACCAGACTTAAATCCGATTGAGAACCTCTGGTGGGACTTAAAGAAAGCAGTTGCAGTGCGCAAGCCTAAGAATGTGACTGAACTGGAGGCCTTTGCCCATGAAGAATGGGCGAAGATACCCGTAGATCGCTGCAAGACACTTGTGTCAAGCTATGCTTCACGTTTAAAAGCTGTTATAACTGTAAAAGGATGCTGTACTAAGTACTAAGATTGAATGTCACTTGGGGGTTGAATAAAACTGATAATGCTGTGAGCACAGAAAAGACATTTGTGGTTATTTCATTTATAACTGTTATGTATATTTGTCTGACCTACAAGTGCCTCTTTAATGTAAATGTAAGCAAGATGACTGAATGATCAAAAGCAATGTCAAACTGGCCAAAACACTCAATTTCAGTGGGGGTTGAATAATTTTGGACACAACTGTATATGTAATATTTTTTTTTTTTTTTTGTAATGTTTGATAATGCTATTTTTGGTAAGCTACACTGAACAAACCAAATAAAAATCTATGAAAGTCAGATTATTGTCGCGGTGTTTGTCTCCTTTTTTTTTTATACATGGCACTGCTATCTCCCCGTACTCCCACCCAGGACAATCTGCACTGATCACCTAATTGTATTTTCTTGAACAGAGAGAGAGAAAACTCAGAAGACGGAGGACATTTTGTGGTGTAGAAGTACTTTTTGGGTTTAATGAGTATTTCTGGAGGTACCATTCATTGTGAGCGGCACCCCAACATATTGTACAGGAGAGCACATTGCAATGCAGTGCACCACCCTTCTAAAATGCATTGTGGTTTGCACAGTTTGCAAAAATAAGAGGGGTCATGCCAGGGGCGGACTGACAACTCATGGGGCCCCCGGGCAATAGGGGATCATTGGGCCCCTGTGTCCTCACCAAACACCCAAAAAAAGCCTATAAAAAAGCCAATGAAAGGTACCAGGGGCATCTCATGGGGCCCCCTACTTGACCCCGGGCCCTCGGGCAGTGCCCGAGTGTTCGAATGGTCAGTCCGCCCCTGGGTCATGCATGCTTTTTCATCAGTTGTGGTGCAGCGGCAGCCCATTCCTAATCAATTGGTCACCCCAATGCAACATGCCTTAATGTGTGTTCATTAGTACACCTCAGCTGAACACTTGGGTGTAGATGCGGCCTGTAAGGAAAACTGCAAAGCTGGAAGGGTGAAGGTTTAACCTCCCCGGCGGTCTGATTATGTCCATATTTCTGTGCTCAAAGTGGTACATTTTTTTGCATGGAAATATGTCTTTTTTTTTATTGTAGGCCTGTAATTTTTAGGAATAACTCGTTGAAATCTGTCCGAACAAGAGTCTAGTAAACATCCCGGGGAGGATAAAAATTTAACACGAAATGATAAATTATAATTTAATAAATAATCATAAAAAATAATAATACATTTAATAATATAATCAAACCAAAATAGAGTGCCAAGTTTCGCACAATCGCTGAGCAAAGTCGCAGAATCGTTTTCAGTGTCTGATGAGGAATTTCCCCCCACCAATCATTATCACTCAATTCTGCAAGTGGTTCTGATTTACTATCGCTGTTCTCTAGCCGGTCTAAAACCGCGTCTGACCTAAAGGGACGCTTTTTGGACGCCATGGACGTTTCTCAGTTTCCAGGCAGAAAGAACAGTAACAAATGCAGGCAGGGCGCCGGACAAAGCACTCGGGACAAAATGTATGTGAAATGGTTTGATACAGGAATGTTATACTATGTGATTTTAGTGAATGTCACTTTTAAAATTTTAGAATTTCCCGCAAGTTTCCGTCCCCCATACGTCCTGACGTCGCAGGGAACGGAACCCGGAAGACAGATGCCGGCATCGGCCGGAGGACATTGCCAGGGACACTGCAGGAGGGACATCGCGGGAGCGCAGGGCAAGGTAGGTGCAGAAGGGATCCCGGAGCAACGCTGCAGTGTATTCCCGAGTGTAGCTCTGGGGGGGTCAACCCACTTCCGGTACTGAAAGTTTACACCGAGCTACACTCAAGGGGGAATACCGCCAGGGGGGTTAATAGGCATTGTTGTGGAGGTGATCTTTTCAAGGATATCTATTGCTAGAGAAATACCGGGGGCTTCATTTGCCGACTTTCTTTGGAAAGTTGCCGTCTGTCTCTGGGTTCAATTATGAGCCACAGATACAGAAAAAGTATTCATATCAGGAAGTCTTCATTCACTGGCTGCATGCTTTCACCAGGTCAATGACAAAGTATTGAAGACAGGATCCACACTATAGGCATCAGAAGAAATGGTCAGCAATGGCAGTTGGCATAATTTTCCCCATGACAGTTTCCTTCAATTCAGGACAAAGTGATGGTCTTTGTAAACTCTCCTTGCCATGCACTCACTTGCTGCAACTTCTTCTGTTGCAGCCAGCACCCTGGTGTCAGACACGGAGAGAGTGGTGACATTAAATCCTTGGACATGTGACAGTGCTCAGGCCCAGTGATTGGGCTGCAGG